GCACCGACGGCGGTGCGTCATTCTCCGGATCCATCGGAATTCAGGATGATTTGTTTATGAGCTAATATGGATGAATCTTGCACAGAAAACAATAGTTTAATGAGAAAATTTAACAAACAAGTTGAAAAACCATCAAATAACAGAAATTTATCTTTTAGTTTAGAATTGGTAGATGAAAACCATTCTAGTATTGATTTAAAATCAAGTCTACCAACTAGAAAACAAAGACTTAAAGAATATTTAACTACAACTCACATACCTGATAAAAACATTAATTTAACTTATAAATTACACAATTTTTCTAATGTTAATTTGATTAATTTTGTACCAAAAATTGATGATTATAACAAGCCTGTAAAAGTTAAATCTCAATGGACTCGTACAAGTCAAATGGAGTTAGCATTAGAAAATTCTACATCCCGTCAAACTAATAATACTCAACCTATAACTAATTTATCTAAATATGAAAAACTAAACGACGAATTTACAATGGCTGTTTCATCCACAAATGGTGTAATTAATCAAATTAATGAAAATACAAATACAAATGATTCTAGAAAAATCATTAAAATAAATGATGTAGAAATCAAAAGTTGTTGTGTTGTTGTAGAAAAATATGATGAAACTGTACACAAATTCGATGATTCAGTACAAGTGAAAAGAAAAAGAGGTAGACCTAAAAAGAATAGTAATAATATTAAAGTTAATACATCAATAAATTCGAATATTAAAAAACAAAAACCGGTCAAAAATAATACAACTGTTAATTTGGATCCTAAAAATACTGGTGAAAAAAAAGTTATAAAAAGAGGTCGCGGCAGACCAAAAAAAAATGAAATCACATCGACCATTATTCAAACACCACCAAGTGTATCTAATTCGGTTGTAGCAAAAAAAAGAAAAACACAAAGTTCTGCTACTGTAAACAAGCGAAAAAAATTGAAAAGTGATCAATTTAAAAATGAAGATCTTAACAATTCAAAATTATCCAAATTAGATCCAGTACAACCCTCAGAAGTGTATACTAGTGGAGCAATAAATTCTATAAATAATAAATCAAGTGAAAATTCTTCTAGTTCAGATGAATTAAAAGTAAATAAAAACGGTTCTGTGACACCAATCCTAATATTTCCAGACGATGGTGATGACTTGAAGTGTGTAACCTTATCACGAATCGATATACCAGAAGGCACATCATTGATTACTTTGGGAAGTTGTGATAGACCATATCTACAAGAAAAAACTGAAAGTATGATTCATAAAAATTCTAATGAGTTAAATACACAAGAAAAAACTACACATAGTGTTAATTTTTTAGAAAAATGTGATAATTTAAATGTAAAAGAAAACACTACACATGCTAATTTTTTAGAAAAATGTGATAATTTAAATGTGCAAGCAAATACTACAGGTATTAATTTTTTAGGAGGATGTAATGATTTAAATGTACAAGAAAACACTACATGTGTCAATTTTTTAGAAAAACGTGATACAAGATTTAACATTGACAAGATTTCAATTAAAAGTAAACAAAATTTTTTATCTGAACTTGAAAATGTAGATTGGAATTCAGTACCTAAGCGGATTCGATCAAATAGTGTAAGCGAGACAATTAATATAAAAAATCGAAGAAATTCTCTTTCTAATAATTTTGCGTATAACTCTTCAAACGAATCAAAAGATGAAGATTTCGTACCATTGAAATCTTGGAAAAGTCTTTCTTATTTAGAAAGTGGACCAAATATCCAAATTGAACGAGTTATACAAGATGAATTGGTTAAAAAATTTAGATCAAAATTAAAACGCAGCAGAAGCTTTCCTAACTGCTTGTTTTTAGATACAGTTATCTGGAGATATCTAGTTCATCAACAAGAATATAACTCGGAAGAAAGTCATGAAATAGTATCAGATTTAGATTCAGTTTCAGATATTGATTCTGAATCAGGTATGAGTTTAATAAATGAAATTCCAGCGGATAGATGTGACCATCATTACCGTTCTAATAGTTTGCCTTTAGAGCAATATAAACAATCAAAAGAAAAAACTAGCTATATGTTTAGAAGTTTAGATAATTTAAATATGTTGTGTTCTACTAATGATCCACTATCATTCCAAGTACCCTCAAGTATAAGTAATTTGAAAAACGCTGAAAGTGAACCAGAAGAATCTGAAGGGAAAATAAGACGATCAAAGCGATTAAATACCAAAAATAAGGATAGTGATATGTTGGAAGAAAAATATTTATTATCATCTGAAAATTCAAAAATTGACTCTTTATTGTTGGCTGATGAAATTCGAAAAGAAAATGAAAGGCATTTAGCAGAAGCTAGAGCAAATGATCCAGAGTTGGATAAAAAATTAAAAAAATTGAACTTTACTTTAATATCTAACAATTTGTTTAGGCCTCCTAGGTGAGCATTTTATACATTTTTTTAAATATAGATGGCCATATAGTATTTTATTTGGTATCTATAATTAAGATTAATTACTTACATTTCAACAATTTATACTACTTCCAGTATTAAAAATTAAAAAATAAATATTATTTTAGGAAAAAAATGAGTGAGTATACACCAGCAGAAGCACAAGAATTGCGGAGACTAAAACCAAGGTAATTCAAATATTAATTACAAATTCTAATAGCAATTGGTATTTTATAATATATTAACATTTTCTGCAAGGTTATCATTAACTGGTTTTTAAATTATTTTATGTTTCACTTTAAGAAAGTTCTATATTATTGTTTCTTAATATATTCCTGATTAATGTTTATTTTTTTTTAGGAGAACTATCAATTCTGATACTTATAAATGCCATTGTAAATATACTAGAAAAGACTGGATTGAAAAAAAACCTGGATGTGGTACAGAATGTTTAAATCGTTTATTGAATATTGAATGGTAAATCAGATTGATACTTTTTTTTAAATAATAAAGTAATTAATATTTTGATTAAAAAAAAAAATTATTTTATTTTTCAAGTGGTAAAAGTTGTATATTAAAGTCACTCTGTACAAACAAGCAATTTCAAAATAAACAATTCAAACGTACCAAAATTGCCAAAACTGCAAATAAAGGTTATGGTGTTTTTGCACTTGAAGATATACCTAGGTAATATATTATAAATTACTTAAGCTTCAATTTAAATGGCAATTTGTATTAAATTAAAAGAACATAGTACATCAATACCTGCATTTATTATCTTCATTTTATTATTGTATAACACTAAATTTTACATTCAAGAGATTCTATTTTATTTTTATTTAGAGTGAAATGACTGATAATCAAATTTAAAAATCAAAATATTATTCAGAATTATATGTAGCTAATTAAAAATTATAATTTTAAAATGACCATAACATCCTTTATGATAAAAATATCAAAAATTCCATGAGATATACAGTATGATATTTTATCAATAAATTATTAGGTTAATTCACTCTAATATTATAAATAATGAAGTAAAATGAATTCTTCTGAATATAAAATTTGTTATGTTATTTGGTAGATAATAATAACACTGATAACACTTTCAAGTATGACATTCTCTTAATAAATATAAATTTGAAATTTATATATTTATGCCAATTGGCGGTAGTGGAGGCGTAGAGCAATGTTTTTTATCTCGCTTAGTGTATTTTTATTTTTTTTTTATGAGAGTCTACTTTTATAATTTATAGGTACTTGGATTTAAATACTGCTCAATATTAAACTGTACCTATTATTATTAATAAAAGAAAAAATTAAGTTCTAGTTAAAAATTATTTATAAAATGTCTTATCTGTTTTATTCTAAGTTAAGTTATGATTTTTAAATTTCTTAATTATTTTTAAAAGAAAATTTTGTTTCAAATAGTCTTAAATTGATGATTACAAATATTAACTGTAGTTTATAATTTGTGTAGTGGAACTTTTGTTGATGAATATATTGGAGAAGTTATTGATCAAAATGAAATGATAAAGAGAATGAAACTAAAAAAGTATATGTTTAATAATTATATGGTGCAATTGAAACATGACGAAATAATCGATGCTACGCGCAAAGGAAATATTACAAGATTCATAAATCACAGTTGTGAACCAAACTGTGTTGCAGAAAAAGTATAATTATACCATTATAACTACTTTAACACATTTAAAACAACTAATTTTTAAAATATAATTCCAGTGGAATGTGTTAGGTGAATCTCGGATGGGGTTTTTTAGCAAACAATTTGTACGAAAAGGAGAAGAAATCACTTTTGACTATAGTTTTGAAATATTTGGGTATTACTTATTATATCACTGTCTTTACTTTCTGTTAACTATTATTTTTATTATAATTTAGAGATGCTAAACAGCAAAAGTGTTATTGTGGCGCATCAAAATGTCGAGGATTTATTGGCAAAAAAACTAAAACAGGTGATCAAAGCAGTTCTGATGAAAGCAGTTCTGATGAAATTGATGATCTTGATGATGATTCAAAAGCGGATTCAACTGATAAATGTTCGGGAAAGAAAAAGAAAACAATAAATAAAATCACTAACAAAGATAAAAAACGCTTAAGACAGGTTAGAATAATTATAATCTGTATAAATATCGTGAAGATGAATTAAATTTTTATTTTTTATAGCTTGATAAACAGTTAACAGATATCAGTAAATTAAAAAATAAAAACCGTTCTGACTTGGAGAGCTCAACATTAAATTTGAATAAGTTAATGGTTCATATTACTGATTCAATGAGTAGATCACATATTTTGAAATTTATTAGGGATAACGATTTAAACTGTAAAAGATTATTTATGAATTTTAACGGATTGAATATAATACATAGCTGGATGACTTCAAATAACAATGAAAACTTGAAATTAGAAGTAAATTATTTAATAAGGATTTATGAAGAATAAAATCAATTATATAAAATTTTATTATTTTGTGTTTCAGATTGTTAAAACACTTTCAGACCTTCCAATCTCTAATAGAAATACAATAACTAAATCTAAAGTTTTAGATATTGTTGCTCAATGGGCTAATATCCCATTAAATGTAAAAGAAGCAATTGAAAAGTAATTATAATTATTATTTTATTTAATGGCTATAGCTACATTAAAAAATATTTGTATTGTATAAGTACATAACATTTATTTTTAAATATTGTTTGGATATTATTTGGCATTTGTTAAATACTTAAGAAACTTACTTTTTATTGAAGTTCATATCTCTTATTTTGTTATAATATTTTTTTTATTTTTAGTTTAAAATATCCAATATCACAAATTAAGGAACACGAGGAAGAAGTTGATAAATTATTACCAGATGTAAGCAATAAATCATCATTAGTTCAAGCAGCCAGAATTTTATGGAAAAAATGGATAGTTCTGAAAATTGTTTTTAAAATACCAAAATTAGATCGTCCCAAAGAAGGTAAACCACATAAATATAATATTATAATATAATTGTCTTTACACATAAAATCAATCGACTACTAAGTTTCTCTTGTATAAAAACTAATAAATACAGCTATGTATTTGTATAGTTAATATAATTTTTGTTATTTAGAGTTTTTTTTTTATTTTTTAAACATAAGTATATTTACAATCTGTAATATTATTATATACAATAAGTAAATTTGGTAACATAGAGAAAAAAAAAAGACAACATGATATTACGTGAGGAGGGAGGTCCACCAGTGTGGATACCCTCAATTGGAAAATAATAACATTTACGATATGTACATTTGATAAAAAAGAAAATTACAATAAGCAAATGGGTGAACATACAAATTGACATGTTTACTGGGAGAAAGGGAAACTATCCAGTGATACCCTCTAGGCGTTACGACTAATTTTAAATTATAAAAAAATTTTTTTTTTAAATTAAAAAGTCACGATACCAACGTCTTTAAGATGGCGAGGAGGGTTGTCGAGGATTGTGACTGTATGTTGATGGGCAATTAGTGGATTAAGGTGTGGATTTAATTTGGAGTGAAACCTTTTATAGTGCGTTTTAACTAAATCAACAACTGATACTATGTTGAAGTCTTTGTGGAGAGTGAGATTTGAGACATACCAAGGAGCAGACGTGATTATACGGAGGGAAATTGATTGGAATGCTTCAATTGTTCTAAATTGTGAAGGTTTGGCACATCCCCATATTTGGGCTCCATATGACCAAATAGGTCTTAGCATTGACTTGTAAATAAGTATTTTGTTGTGAAGAGGAAGTTTAGATTTTAGTATAGGGCATGGTAAATGAGATCTATTATTTAGTATCTTTCTTTTGGATTTGAGATGAGGGCCCCATGATAGTCTTTTATCTAAGATAATACCAAGATATTTGACTTGAGTCAAGGAGGAGATTGAAACTCCTTGGAGGGAGAGAGGAGGCATATTTTTTTTATTTAAAATGAAAGGAACATGCACTGATTTTTCTAGATTGATTTTAATTTTCCAGTCTGTGGACCACTTTTCAATATGATCGAGGTAGAGTTGAAGATCATTGTATACTTCTAACGGGTCTTTATTTGGGGATAAGATAGATGTGTCATCAGCGTAGGTAGCTAGGATGGTGTTTTGAATTTGGGGGATGTCTGAAGTGAAAATATTGTACAGGTCGGGAGAGAGATCACTTCCTTGCGGAACTCCTGCTAGGATAGGAAAGAGAGTTGAAAGATAATAATTACCATGACGAACTTTAAATGATCTATTTTCGAGATATGAACGAATAAGTAAGTAAAGGGGAGCAGGGAGGAATAATTTTAATTTATAGAGTAAACCTGGGTGCCAAACCCTGTCAAAGGCCTGAGCTACGTCAAGGAAGACTCCCGGGCAATAATTTTTATTTTCAAAGGAGGAAGAAATTGTATCGACTAGTATGTGGACTAGTTGTATAGTAGAGTGTTTGGCACGAAATCCAAATTGTGCATTAGGTATTACTTTATGGGTTTCCATGATTGGTCTTAACCTTTTCAAAATGACCTTTTCGAATAGTTTCCCGAGCACTGGGAGTAGACTAATTGGTCTATATGAAGTTGCTAAATTGGGGGGTTTACCCGGTTTAAGTATAAGAATAATAATAGATAGTTTCCAGATGATAGGGAAATATGACAATCTTAATATAGAATTAAATATATAAGTTAACAAAATAATTGTTTTTTTAGGAATATGTTTTAAAATCTTGTTGGTTATCAAGTCATGACCTGGGGATTTATTGGGCTTTAAACTTTGAATCACATTTGCAATTTCATTTGGAGAGACATGTTTGGTAGGAAGAGACATAGGTAGAGGAGTGTCAAGAAAGTTATTTATTTTTACTAACTGTGTGTTACTAGGAATGATATCGGGGTGAGGTATGAAAATATTCGATAGGTGTTCCCCAAAAAGGTTAGCTTTTTCAAGATCTGATAGGGCAAGCAAACCGTCTAATTTTTTAATAGGACATGAGAATTCTTTTAATTTAAGCATGTTTTTAGTGGTTTTCCATAATGAACCATCTTGAGTGTTTAAAGATTTGAATTATGTTTCAAAAAAGTCGTTTTTAAATTTTTGGATTTGATTTTTAATGGTGTTGGATGGGTTATTAAAGGTTGACTTATCGGAAGGTAATCTTGACCTTTGCCATCGGGAGCGGATTTAGAGGTTAAATGATTATTTTTCATTTTACTATTCAATTCTAAATAAATTATTATTAAAAATTGCAATACACATTTCTAATGTTAGTTTTAATATTTCAATTTTATTTTATTGTATAATAGATAGGAATCTAATTTTATAATTTAATTTAATTTTGTGATTTTTGTTGTCATTGTTTGATGTGTATTGGTGTTATGTTATTTTAGTAACCTGTTCTAGCAATATAAGTAGAATATTCAGATAAATTAACTTAAATAAAATATACTCAAACATATCTAACGCAGAGTTTCTCAAAAATGTAATATAGCACAATGCTAGAGTAATGTTGAAAATAATCAACAAGAATTTAAAATTTTTTATTTTACCTTATTATAATATTTTAAAATTATAACTATTTAAAATGAACCTAGTATACAAAATATTTTTTAAGGCTTATATGGACATTTTTAAATATTCCGCACCTAAAGTACATAGTTATGTTTCACTTTTGTCTGTTTTTAATTTTGAAAAATTAAAACTGCATTATTTCATTTAGCAATTGTTTTTCTTAAACCTATAAACAATTTTCATTGAGAAGTTCAAATTTTTACAAATGTTCCATTATGCACTGCAACTTTTAATAGCCATTACCAGTGGCGGTGCCAGGATTTTTTGCTAGGTAGGGCCAATGGGGGCCAACAATTATAAGGTAGGGCCACCAAAAAGTGAGATTTTAACAAAAAAAAAAAATAAATAAATAAATAAATAATAAAAAAAAACAATGAGTTTATTACTATATTTAAAAATGTTTAATGATTATTAACAATAAAATAAATATAATAAATATTAACAATAAGTGTTATCACTATAACAAAACTACAACGTGTAAAGAGTTACTTGAGAAATAGTTTATTAGACACTTAAGACATTAATCTTACAAGTTTAAGCACCATATTATCTAATGAAAAACGCGAAGCTAAGTCACTAAATATAACATATGATAACACTATAAAAAAAGATTATATTTATAAAACTGTTTCTTTTTACTGTTTTTTTTTTTTTAAATTAAAATTTAATAATATTTATATTAGTTTTAACTTTTAAGCTATAATAACAAACAGCAATATAAATACATGATTTAATAAAAAAATCAATATTGACCATTTCCAGAATCATTTTTTCATCAGCTAGGTTTACTAAACTAATGTTTTATCATAAAATTATTCAATATCACTGGAATGTATCTAACTAAACATATAAGCCCACAATATTTCACAGGATCTTAACTGATTAATACATTATTGCACATTGTACATCACATACCCATTATTAAAATATAATATAGGTAATTAGAAAATTAAATTGACACTAACCTACTTAAATTGTTATTTTCATAATCATCATCATCACTAGACATCAATTCTTGATTGCTTTCAATGGCAATATTATCAATATTTCTTAAAAAAAAAAAAAATAAAAATATTAATTAACTGATACCCACAAATTACAATTACATTGTGATAAAGTATAGGTTCTCAGTTCTAATAGATTATGGAAAAATATACAATGTCAATACTGAATAATGAGTTATACCTATAAAATACTTGAACATATTATATTTAAGATACATACAGGTTATTAAATATTTAATATATAATTAATAGGCAATTTTAAATACCTGGTTATAGGATTAGAAACTATCAAACTGGAGCATTTCGGTTCATTGTGTCCAGACTCATCTTCAGTAATATTGTTAATAGAACTTTTTTGTTTTTTTGACTTAATGAAAAAGTTACTAATGTAATTTGTATTTCTCTTCAACATATATTTTTTTTTTAATAAAATTATATGGTTGGATAAATTACACACATCCAAAAATATATTGGTAGACAAAATGTCAATACTGAATGCACTTGGTACTGTCAACTTCACAGAGCACACTTCACAAATAATATTATTAATTAATATAACATGAATATTGAATACAAATTACAACAATACGATGAATGATAGTTTTAGAAATAATTGATAATGAGCATAATCTAGCACAATATAACTGTCCCACTGAATCTATTTATAGATGCACGGAGGTTTTACTCATATAACCAAAAGTGTGTAGTGTGTATATATATTATACCAATCTATACAATGTCATCTATTCTGTGGTATAATCACAAAACATATTAATACGATGAACCATTATCGTAGATTCGTAGCCTCATAGCACGATTATAAAGAACTTTCTTTATAAATTATAATCGTTCCTCGTTAGCTGTAGCCCGTAGGTATTAGTAACCATAGACATTATACAATAACCATGTTTAAAACATTGTTTTCCCAACTCGTAATTCTATCTCCTTTCCTCAATGTTGGCTGGCGGTTTTTCTCTCTACGCCAGAGGGAATTGATACACCTTGCTCCACGCACAGTCCATCAATAGTTTATAGGTCTATGTTTATTCTAAGAATATTATCAATAATTATCATTTAATATTAAATATAATTTAGAAATATTTATATTGTTAAATTACAGACAGTGAACAAAATACAAATACCATTATTTAATATTTTCTGCTTATGAAAAATGACTATATTATTATGTCCAAGATCAGGTTGGTGGTAGGGCCACTGGTAAGTCCAGGCATTTTCAGGTAGGGCCATGGCCCGTCCTTGGCACCGCTACTAGCCATTAATTAAGTGCTATAAGAAAGATAAGTTTGAGAAACATTGGTAGTATTAATAATGTTATAATTTGAGTATAGTTTTACTAGAGATAGCAAATGTATAATATTTGCATGCTCTTTCAATGATATATGTAACTATCAAGAAATAATCATTCATAAGAATTTTTTAGGTTTAACAAGAAAAAATAGGTCATTATATTAGTTGAATTTAGGTAAATAAAATGCAACCAAATGTTTTTATTTAACACATAAGTATAGAAAGGTTTATCACTGATGTATACTAAATTTAATTCACTTAAAATGATAATCCAGTGGCAGCAATTTTTTGTCTGGTAGTAGTTAGGTAATGCCTATTTTCATCCCACAAAATCAACCATCTGATACGGTATGCAACGGTCGCCAGTTCAAAATACAGGCACCGTAATGACCGGTCTACACTGTTACAACCACCACCATCACGTGTAAAGACGCAACATCGTTAACTCTCCCACCAACGCCGTAAAGGTCAAGAAGGGACGGGAAGACAAGTACCTGGCACCGGCGATTGGTCTCTTTTGTTATAACCTATAACCGTGAACCGGACAATACTTTCGTTCTAGTCATATCGACACGAAATCGCATCGATAATTTCTTTTTTATTTGTTAATCGTTGATCACCTAAACGACAATTATTTTCTTACCACAACCGACACTAAACACATAAGTTCAATTGAATTGCCTATTTACATTATTTCTTTTTTTTCTTTTGAGTATCCTCGGGTGCATGTTTTTTTTTTTTTTTTATCAAGTACACGTGACTGTTTCCGGTTAGGTTAGGTTAGGTTAGGTTAGGTTAGAAAACCACTAAAACCAGTGTCAACCGCCGTAACCGCGTGTCACATTTTTATGCTTGTCGTATTGTTAAATAATGCCCATTCGTATAAGTTGGCCGTCAAGTTGTCTTCTTAATTTAAATAGGATAAAGATAGATTAATACATAATTATTTTGATTTTAGTGAACATTGCTGATGTTAGCCAGCCACCAATACATTTTTCGCAACCTAAACTGTAAGATTTTCAATATCAATTATTTTTTTTCGTAGTTTTATTTAATGTTATTAACATTTGTTTTAGAAATTCTATTTCACATCATTCTGAAAATCCTACAGTTAAATCAAGTCAGCCTTCTGAAATAAGGTATGAAAACATGATAAGTTAAAATATGTATTTAGTTAAATAATTTTCTTGTATAAAAGCTGGAAAATTTGTAATTAATGCGCTTAATATTGTTTTTTGAAACACTCATTTCATATTGTATTAAATGTTTAAATTGATTTTAGTCATATGCAAAGCCAAGGTACTGGATATGGTGAGACCAATTCCATGGATACATTAAACAAAATAATTAATCATCGCAATCAGATCAACTATCGAGACAGGTAAGAATAGTCATTTTAATATTTAAAATTTTTATAAATATTAATATATACATGAATTAAATAGGAAACAAACTATTTTGGATTGGAATAAAAAACACTGGAATCTACCTTCTAAAACAAATAAGGTTTTTAGTTCAGCCATGGCAAATCATTCAGATTTAAATTCAAAACAAAGCTCAACATCAACATTTAAATCAAGAAATATACACAAAGATATTCCATCAATTGAAAACAGTACACCTACTAAAAATATGAAATGGAGTGGCATCGCTGAAAGTAAGAATCGAACATGTATTTCTGTTTTTAATTTAAAAATTGCATAAGTACTTAATATAATATTATCTAATTTCATTTTCAAAAGCTTAAGATATTTTTTATTTTATTAAAGCTAGACTCAATGGCACTACTGTGCATAAGAAAGTGAAGTCAATACTGTAATTTTGTAAATATGCATGTCAGAAACATCTTAAAATTGGTTTAAATTTACCGTGTGTTCACTTTATAACTCAGAACAGTTTATTTTTTCAATTCTGTTTGCAGGACATTAAACTATAGATTATTGGATTATAAATTCTTTTGATTCATCAATTATTTTAACTTACTTATTTTGTAGATGTACAACACAACTTAATTTTTTTATGTGGCATCCCCTATTTTAAGTATCATTTTTGGATTGAACAATTTTTTTCAAGTCATTTGAATTTATCAAATTGTATTCTAAAATCAAAATTGACAAAATGAGAGGTGAAAATATGAATTTTTTCCTTCTTAATTCAATGACTATCATAATTGAAGTCATAGTTTACTAAAAATGTATGAACTATTAGGTATTTTTTATTATTATTACGCTATTGATGAAATATCATAATTAAAAAAATTATTTTTATTAACCGACAACCAAGTTTAAATTTATATTTATTTTTTTTTTCATTGGAAAAACAATATTTAATTACAAAAATAATAAATAAATTATTCAACATATTATTTGATTTATATAGTCAGGAAAACATTGCTTAAAAATTCATATTTAATAATATTTTATTTTTTTAATCTCAAATGTGAACCAGCTAAATTTATATAGGAGATAGGGATTTACCTAAAAACATACCATATGTTTAGCTTTTTTAAAAATATTTCAACTATTCATACCCACTCAAGTCCTTGCATATTGAATTGACATATATATTTTGAGTCATATAATAGATTTCCTTTTTTGTTTTTAACCTGTCATCGGTGACGTTATTTGTGTAATACCGTTAGTGATGTGTAATCGAAATGCTCACCTATTAAAATACACGTGTAAGACTACAAATTTATATACCGCAGTATTGATAAATATCAATACTGAACTGCTAAAGTATAATAATATAATAAGATAGTATAAAATAACAAGATAATATGGTAAGGCCATCAGTGACATGCAAGCACAACGTTAATATATCGCACCATTGGTACAAGACCGCCATAACTCAAAAAACATTGTTCTGAGAAAATTCAATTTTAATATGTTATCTGCTCCCGAGTGGTTATTTTTAAAACTTTAGTTTTAATATTTTGCAATTATCCATGTTACCTGAAGCTTATTATATTTTATATTTATCTACTTAGTTAAACCTAAACCAGACACAAGAAAATGAGGTTATGGCAGTTCAGCAATAGGAATCGAAATAACAAAACTGCCACATTTAGTTTTATGTCAGTTTTCCATTTCAAACCAAATATTTAATGCACCACAAAGTGAAATAAGGCAGTCTTGTTTTTCTTATAAACTCAATTTAAAGCCTCAATTCAAAATGTGGCCGTCTATCATTTGCTTATTATAATAAAAATTAATTTTTTCACATAACACAACTATATTATACTAATTTACACAATACATTTTTTAAAATAAATTGTATCTTTTATTGTTACTAAGTTTAAGTAATAACATATGTACATATATAATGAAAGTAATAAAACTTAAAAAACAAAAAATAATAATAAAAAATCCTCTTCTTTGATAAATAATATTATCTATTGTTACACAAATTATAAAACTTGTACTTATTTAAATGGCTAAATTAAAAGGATTATTTAATTACTTACAGACAAAATTAAATATATAACTTCATTTAATTTATATATAATTTAATAATTATAATTATATTATGATAATACAGATAAATCTTTTCAAAAAAAATTTTTTTTAATTAATAAAACTTAACACATTATAACATTAATCACTGTTCTCATCTTCAACTTCAGGAGCACAGGAATTTGATACTTTTAACTGTTCAAAAAAATAATGATAGTTTTCAGGAATTTGTTTATTTTCACAAAGATGAATTAAATCTTTTTTTTTATCTTTTGAAATTCCTGGTGGTTCAGTGTAGAGTTTGCTTAACTCTAAATCTCCACTTTTTCTTTTAGCATTTCTTGTTTTGTTCATCACTATTATTTCACCAAAATCCTGCTCTTCATATGATGTTTTATAAAATAGTCTATCAGGATGTTCTTTAGAAACTTTTAATACTTTTACATCTTTCCAAACAATTTTTTGTCCTAATGTATTCTTGTTAAAATTATTTCCCATATTAGATGTCAATTTTTTGAAATTTTAAAAGTGTTGATAATTTAATTCATGGACTTTGAAAGGCTTTCCTGTTTTTTTTGCTGATTGAATAACAGTTACCCATTGTTGAGGGGAGTAAATGGAACCTGATTTTAGTAATCTTGTTTTTTGTTTTTCTATAACTGAATGCACAGAATCCCCTTCGTTTTGGGTATGTCCAACAATTAGATACTTATGAGTTATTGAAGAAATACTCAAGTATATGACTGCATATAAATAAAGAGTAGCCATAAATTTATTTTTCTGTTGACCACTACAATTATCAGAATAGAATATTACATCTTTATTTACACATTGTTCAATTAAAAACTGATACACACATGTTGCAATTTCATTAGCCCCTCGCTTGGCCTGGTCTTCATTCCATAAATAGCAATGAGCTTCACTAATACCCATATTATAGATAGTAAGATTATAAGTGGCAAACTTACGAGAGTAATAAAAATTAGATACTTGAGCAGAAGGTGTTGTCAAAATGCTTTGCAAATCATAACAGGCTACTATGATTTTTTCTTTATTTGTTTTTGCCAAGTTCTTATCATTTTGTTTTTCATTCCTCGAAAGTTCAGTTTCAAGTTGGTGTTGGTGTTTTTCATTTAATATTTTTAATTTGTCATTTTCATTTGAATTATTAAATGTTTCACAAAATGCACATTGATCTTTTTTTGGTAAAAAAAAACCTATATTAAAATGTGTATTGAAAATATAAGAGTATGTACTAAATTTGCAAGCTATTTTTTCATCATCTTCACATTTTTTTACAAATAGTCTATACATCTCTGCAATAGTTGAAGCACCATCAATATATTGCCTTGTAGTTTGTTTTCTTAAATAATGTGACTCAATATGAGGAAATTCATTTATATGGTTAGTGACTAGGGTTACTATTTCAGGACTTAGTTTTTTCTGTTTCCCATGGTTTCCTCTTAATTCACCTTCAACATATTCTTTATTATAGCCGCCTTTTTTTAAAGCAGTTCATATTGTTCTATCACCAATATTGAGAGTAGCCATAAAAAAAAGTTTGCAGACCCTGTAGTTAGTACCATCCAGAGATAAAAAAAAATGCATTATTAGATGAACGGTTACTATTTTCCTTTTTATACTGATGTTTTGGTTCAATAGTAGTTGTAGATTTAACTATAAATGCTCTTTGTCTAGTTAAATCTCCCATTTTCCAATAGTTCTGTAGTATTTGTTCACGTTGTTCTTCATTTAAACTAGAAGAGCATTTATATTTACATTTAGAATTACAAGAAGGTTGCAATTTTCTTTTATCTATATTATGTCCTTTAGAATTTTGGTAAGACTCTCCTAAATTCCTTTTTATTTTTCTAGTTTCTCTAGTCCAACTTGATACACATTTCACTTTTTTGCGTGAATTTTTTTTACCTATTGCTGCATTTGTGGTTGTTAAGTCAATATTCACTAATTCTGGATGGTGGTTAGTTACATCTTCAATGCTTCCTACATAATTATTATCATCTTCACCTACTGATGAATCAAGTGATATTGAGTTTTTTTGTTTATTTTCAACTACCCAATCTTTATCATTATCACTGTCATCAAATTCAGAGAGGCTGCTACTGTATTCTATAAATTGAAATAGTTATTAAATTAAAATTTAAAAAAATTATTTAATGTTTTCATTAAATGTAATACTCGAATTTCAATAAAAATATTTACCATTCAAATCTATGATATTTTGTTCATCGGGGTTTGAAGTTAATAATGAAAATGATCTTGTATTTTGTAAATCAGTAAAATTGTCATTTTTTACATAGTTATCAACAAAATTTGTAATACTAATATTGTGTTCTATTAAGAAAAATAATACAATTTCATATTAAAATATCATCAAGTGCTCATAAAACAATTAAAAATGAAAAAAAATATGCTACCTATTTCATTGTTTGAACTTTTTTCATTAGGGTTTGAAGTTAATAATGAAAATAATTCTGTATTTTGTAAATCAGTAAAATTATCATTTCTTAGAATGTCATCAACAAAACCTATAATACTAGTTTGTTCTATAAACATAAAAATAGAGTTATATACTTATTAAACTATGTATAAATACTGTATTATATGGATTAAAATAAACAATTATTAAATTATAGTTAAAAGAAAATATTTAATGTTTTTAATTAAATTTAATACTTTAATTTCAATAAAAATATTTACCATTCAAATCTATAATATTTTGTTTATCAAGGTTTGAAGTTAATAATGAAAATGATTCTGTATTTTGTAAATCAATAAAATTGTCATTTTTTACTATGTCATCAACAAAACCTGTTATACTAGTTGGCTCTATAAACATAAAAATAGAATTTTATATTAAAATATCATCAAGTACCTATGTATCTACAGTTTAAAAATATTAAGCTACCTACCTATTTTATTCTTCAAATTTTTTTCACCTGATTCTGAAGTTAATAATGAAAAGTTGAAGATTTTTAATAATGAAGTTGATAATGTTAGACTCTGTATTATTTAAATTATTCTGGAGCCATAATTGAACTTTAGTTTTACAGTTTTGATCCATAATAGGTGTATTTTGTTCTGACAAAAATTCTGCATAAACCATAATTAATTACAGTTAATAAAATGTATTTATGAAAAATAAATTAACATACCGGCTCTTTTAGCTGACAGGATGTTTAATATGTCATTTGTTTTAAGTTTTTTTGTAGAAACATTGGTTTCTATAATGTTATTATCATCATAAATTGTATTGTTAGAATTTTGTACAATGTTGATCATTTTCGAGCTACGCGTAAATCGTTTTGCCATTTTATAACTCGTGTATTTATAAACATTAACACGAACAATATTAAAAGGAATAATAAAAATATTCAGCTATATTCTATAGGTAATTTGACAATATACACAATAATATACGTTAATATTACATGTACGGCAATATTAGACATCAATAACTTTGTTAGTTTATTTATAATATTTAATGTTTTTTCCGTATTTATTTTTGTGAATAACTTAATGAAGCATTTATATAATATTCTAAAAATCAAATGAAATATAAACCAGTGGTTCTAAAAATATTAAATGTGTAAGTGAAATGCTCATAGCGTCACCAACGATGGGTCAATACTTCTTTATTATAAAAATTATGTAATAATATTTTTTTAATTTATAATTGAATTTGGATTATCTCATATATTTTTTAATTTTAAATTTAATTAATTTTTGCAGTTAACTCAACAGTTTATGACATTCCTACTGATTCTTCTGAAAAAATTAATTCTAAGAATACACAAAATAATACATTTTTTGAAACTGAACCAACTGCTTATTACCCTATCGAAGAAATTATTACCACAAACCAAACATGGAATTTACCGCCTCCAACAATTGTTGATCTTTGTAATGGATCTACTCTAAATTCCATATTAAAAACAGTTCCTCCATGTTTACCAAATGATTTTATTTCAAATATGTCTAATGAAACAAGTCAATGTTTATTTTCTTCTAATGATACTACTTGGTGTGTAATGCATCCAGAAAATGTGATGTATGATGCTCAACATCCAAGTATTCAAGAACAAATGGCTCTTTTACCAACTGACATAATGGTCGAAAAATCAACTAAAAGTCAATCAGATACACCAAATACTAATGATGAAAAAACAAATTCCATTAAAAACTTTAAAGTCCAGCCACTAGATGAAAATACGCGTAAAAAGTTATTTAAACAATGTGAAGAAAATGTTCAACAGCTAGTTGATAAAGGAATATTGAATATGCGTAAATCTGCTAAACAAAATTATCTAGATACATCTCCAATTCAAATACTTCAATCATTTTTCAATAGAAAACCCATGAAATCAACTATAGTGACACACGAAAACAATCAAAATCAATATGTTTTGCCCAACTTAATCAAACGTATAAAAATAATTAGTGATGGTTATCAAAAACAGCCATCCAAAATTATTAAAATAAATAATGCAGTAAAATTGAATTCTCTGAAAAATAAAAATGATATATTTAGAATAAAAGAAGATCAAAAGTCTGAAAAAACCGATACAACATCCATAGCCTTGATATTAAACAATGAACAACTAAATACTGTTCCTGAAACACTCAACTTAAATAAGGTGTTCAATAAGCAATCTTTTAAAGTAAATACAAAAAACAGATTTGCATTTAAAATATTTAATAATTTAATAAAACGTAATTCAACCATGCCCAAAAATTTTATTCTTCAATTCCCATCCAACATCAATATAATTACTCATGACCCTTCAAATGAGTTGGATATTCACAACAAATTAATTCCATCAGTGCATAATATTTTGTGTGCAAAATTAAATAGGGGAGTTGATAAAAATACCATAAATGTGTACAAACAAAAAATAGGTATGAAATATGATGAAACAAAGACCCTAGAACCTTTAAGTTTAGAATCAATATTAAAAGAAAATCTTGTTTTTTCATCTAACACTACAGAAATAACTCAAGCTAAAAAACAATTAAAAAGAAAAATGCCTTTACCACCTTTGCATAATATAAAGAATAGAAAAATTGTCGATTTATCGTTGAAAAATAAATCTAGAATTCCAGTTACAATAATAAATAAAACTGATGATAATATAGTTTTTAAAAAACCAATGCTTCCTGCTACTAATAAAAGCAACTCTCGTATTATTACCAACCAAGTGCAAGAATCTTTAACTTCAAGTATTGCACCTCTTAATTCAAATGCAAACGAATTTGAACAGATACCTAGTACATCAAGTCATACAATATCAGATACTGATTTATTAAAAATAAATCTTAGTGAAGAACCTAGTACATCTAATCCATTAGTCATAAATATTATGTCATCAAAAACAAATGCTAATGAAATTAGACAAAAACCTTTAATGAAGTGTTCACCATTCAATAAAGTAGAAAACAATTTAATAATCGAGTTGGAGCAGAATGCTAAATATTTAGCCTCAAGTATAAATATGGACACCACTGATGTTTTATCTTCAGTAGTAGTTAATAGTGATTTAATTGACCCAATCGTGGAGAATTTCAAAAATTCTATTAATCAAAAGAAATCTGTGGGACGAGCAAATCTTGTTGATGATCCTATTGTGAGGGATTATATTGAACGTACTCAATTGAAATCGCTTGAATCAAAACGTAAATGTAAACTTCCAGAAAGTATGATGTCTTTACCCGATGAGGTTCTGGATCTTATACCAGATAATCAAAGAGAAATCAAGTATGTGATTGACTTTTATCATGCTATGGCTACAGTTATTGTCAAAGTATTAGACTTGTATGTAAAAAAGAGTTGCAAACAAGGTCGTATTAAAAATGATGATGATTTCAAATATTTAGCTAAAAAGGTAATATTTAAAGTTAAATTTCAAATGTTTAAATTTTAATTTGATTGATATTTACAGCTCAATTCCAATATTTTATTCAAAGAACTTCAAGTTAAGAAAGTAGAAGATTTAAGAATTAGTGATAGTGTCAAACAGAAAGTTGAACAGTACATTAAAAAATATATGTTAAAGTATGGAAAAGTGTACAGAAGAAAAAGTACTGGTATGTTAAAACATTATAATTTATTGATGAATTTTTAATTGCGTAAATATTATAGGTGTTTTTAGTAACTTAATCACGATAATATGTTATTAATTATTAATCTTTTTATTCGTTGAATTTTTATCAATAATTATAATAAGTAATCAAAAGAAAAATAACTGTTACATACATTGTATTTTGTACTTGACAGATATTTAAACATACTAAATAGCTGATTGCCATGGTATATTTGTATAAAATGTTTTTAATAAAATGGCTACTGTTTGTTATCTAAAAAGTTAATGTTTATAAATTAAACTAACACATGATAAATGATAAAATATTATATAAGTATCCAAGATTTATAAATAATAGAAGTTGCCTCATAGACTCGGGGGCGGAATGGTTCAACAATTCTTACTAGAGAAATAAGTATTTTCAGACCATTTTTTTCAAATTTAATTTCTTACCAGATGTGTGCTAATCATTTTTTGATTGGAAGAAGTATAAAACAATTTATTTGGCCTACATATTGGTAGAAACTATTACCAATTATCATATACATTTTATATTCTTTCTAGCTTCTATTATAAAATATTATCCACCATAAAAATGTTTGACAATTATATTAAGTATATGAACCAAAAAAACTTTCTCTAAGTAATCTCATAATTTTACACAGATATTATTTATTTATTTATATTTACACAAATATATCACTATAGCAATTTGTAAATATTTTGTGAAACACTTCTTTAATTTCTTATTTTAGGGAATTTAGTAAATAATATTTTACAATAATAATTTTTTTGGTTTTACTTAGTATCATCATTGAATAGTTAGGACAGAATATAAACAGAACCAACTGTGGTTGGTTTACAGGTTTATCGTTATAATATTATGATAAGACGACGTAACTACGTAAAAAATTGAGTTATCATGTATTTACTATTTGTTGTTCAGTGTTTAGACTATGAATTAATTATTCTGTGATAATGATATTAATATTTAATTTATTTTAAATATCCTCATCAACACTAATAACATATACATTCATTTCTTCAATAACGAATAGTGGTCATTTTTAATAACATTATTATTTTAAAGAATGAATATAAAAATGTCAATAAAATTCTCGTAAATATTAGATTTATATTCTTCAAAATATAGTAATGAAAGTAATTTTTTTAATATGTAGGAAAATATAATAATTTAATTTTTAATATGTACAATATAATATATTAGATAACTATGAATAATTAATATTTAATTATTTTCAGATCAATGATCCTGTCAAACATTTTCAATCAAATTTAATATTGTTATGGATACTATTTATTAAAATAGTAATATTCTATTAATTAATTTATATTTTTTTTTTTTTTACAAATTTTACTTTAAAATTTTCCAAGGTAAATTATAATTTTTTTATAATTTTTAAAGCATTTACTGTGTATTTCTAGGTTTTTAACCTCTTCATGCATGAAAAAAAATTTTTAAGTTTTTTTTTTAAATTATTTTTTTATCACAACGTACATGTACTAAGGAATTAAGGAAAAATGTAATAAAAAAATTTTTTTTTTAATTCAAGTTAAAAATCGCTTTTTATTAAATGTCCTCATTTGAGGACACTGTGCATAATTATTGCAAAGTAAAAAAAAAAATATAATAACATAATATAATTTTTTTTAATCAGTTCTTTCTGAAAAATATTTAACAAATTAGTAAACATAAATATTAAAATAAAATAAATTTAACAACTGTTAATAATAATAATAATAATAATAATAACGCTTATAAAATTATTTAATGATATAAATAAACAAATTTAGGTAGGAACAAGTGTTACTTATTTTTAGTATGATAATTGCACATGCACTCTGGACACAAAGGAACTTCACATTTTTGGCAGATGTATCTAGTTTTTGAATGACAACGTTCTTCATGACATCGATTCGCATTTTTTGCATATGTTTTTAATGGATAATGGTTGTTTTATCATATCGTATTTCTGCCGGTGTAAACACAACTCGAGTTGGTTTTTTTTTCGGTGGCTGCTGAGTAAATGAATCTGATTTTCTTCCTCTTTTTGGACTTTATTTGCCCAATTGTAATAATGTCCAAACTAATGATGCCTTAAATTGCACTAGTGGTAAGTTCGGATCAATTGATTTTTTAAAAAGTATCCACGAGTTTATAATACTAATGTTTAAAAAATGAAAAAATATTCGTAAATACCATTTTCGATTTTTGAAACCATGCGGATAATGTGTTATCATGCGGTCCATAATATCCACACCACCCATGAATCGATTATATTCGCTTATAGCATATGGTCGAGTTATTTCTATTGTTGTTCTTGATTTTCTATCAAATCGTTTTGCCTTGTCTTCGGGAATAGTACCAGCGTATGTTGAGATAGTGTGTACTAATTTATTGTCTTGCCAACGAAGAACTGTTATATTATCATTAGAAGTTGCTAATAATGTTCATCCTCTTTGTAAATATTTACCATCTAGTAAATGCTCCTTAATACCAGATACCCTGTTGAGTCTTTAAGTACCCAGTACCAAAATCTGTTGGTCTCTTAGGTGGCGAAGTAATGGAAGTGACGGGAATAAATTATCCATAATAAACAGCTTGTGGTTTTTGCCTATTAAACCATGACAAAGCCTTATAACCGTATCTCCAATAGGACCATAGTGTAATTTTATAGAGGTATTTGAAGCACCTTGGTACAGTTCAAAACAGTTAACATAACCATCAGAATTAGCCATGACCCAAACTTTAAACCCCCATTTCTTTGGTTTCGATTTTAAATATTGTTTTTGACTACTTCTACCTTTGAAAGGCACCATCATCTCATCAATTGCTACATTCTCCTCTGGAGTTGCAGCAACATGAAAAGAATCATGCAGCATACATAGTATTGGTCTAAGTTTCCAATACTTATCTGATGACGGATCGTTCGAGTTTGGTTTTGATTCATTATTTGCGAAATGCAGAAAACGCTTAATTTCAGAGAATCTATTTACCGTCATATTATTTGCTATTAAATCCATTCTCATACCAGGTAAAGACGACCAATACATTCTGACATTAGGATATTTAATGTAAGTCATAGAAATATTTAATGCGAAAAATACCTTCAGCTCATTTGTTGTCAGTTTAAAATTTTCTTTACCACTTTGAATCGCATACCTAATTGTTTCATCTTTTATGTGCTCAAAAATATTATTGGTAAATATCTGACTGAAGAAAGAATATGGAGTGGAATCTGGAGGGATAATGTTTATTTGGTATTCACCGGAATATTGGGGAACATTATTACTAAAATTATTGTCTTTACCCGCAAACCACTTCGTTTTTCTAACAATTTTTTTATAGTTATGGCGTTTAGTTTTAGGTACGAAATGTTTGGTCTTACTTTGAATAGGTGAAGTAGATACTTTAGCAACAGATTTATTTTTAGATCTATAAATAACAAAATATGAGATTAATAAATTAATAATAAACATTACTCCGCCTTGTGTACTACCTTGTAATTTTAACAACATTTTTTTCAAATTGATCTTGATTTTGCCACAAGGTACTTGGCTGATTTATCAATAAATCGTCTGTATCTATTACCTCATCATTTATAGCAATACATTCATCTACTTTCTCTAATTCTGTCATCAAGTTTCGTTGAAAGTCTTCCATTTCTTTGATTTCTTTGAGGATTTGATCTTCTTCCTTTGGCCCTATTATAATTGCATTTTCAAGCTCTATATCATCATCGCTTCCACAAAAGCTTACTTCTGAATCACTCGGTATTTCTATATCCAGTAAAAACTGAATATCTTTATCCCTGATCTTACTCATATTTTTGATTTTTGGTGGTGAAAAATCTAAAACCAAGTATGTACCGTTTTAAAACATATTATAAAACTGTATCTGATTAGGCATAGTGTCTCGTATGAGGACATTTTAATTTCTCGTTTATGCCTGATGTCTCGTATGAGGACATTTCATTTATTCTATCCTGAGACTGATATAAAGCGTATTTTAACATTATTATGACTAAAATATATTATTTATATTATTAACTAAGTGTATACAAATTATCATTATGGTTACTTACTTTTAAATGTTGATTTTCTAAAAAATAATATGACAGGTTTCAGTCGAATGGAAAGACTGTATTTTATTTTTAATACACGTACATTTTCCGCCAAAAATGATAACAACTAAATTGATGTTAGAAACGATTTATGACTACATGTATAAACACAATTTACATACCCACGGAAGATAATACAATTTATATTGGTTTTATATCAAATCGTTAACGTTAACTAATGTCCTCATTTGGGGCTATATGCATGAAGAGGTTAATTTTTGAGTTTAAAAAAGATAAACATTTGTTATACACAAGTTTTTGTTAACAATAAATGTATAACTAGAAAGTTATATTCTATATACTTTTGGTAGATAGATTATTTTATTAGGTTTTTTGTAGTCAATATCTTAAAATTGAATTTTTAACTTTGAATTAAGCCAAGGATAAATTGTTTTAAAATTCTTAACATTTTACTCATTTTAACCTATATCTATAAATTTGAATTTGATATCAATTTTTAACAATTAAATTTAACATTAATGAGTATTTAATGTTCAGTATTTTTCCTACTTTATTTGATTTATTGATATTTTTTAAACATGTTAATCAAGTGTACATTTTACATTAATCAAACATCAATTTAAATTATTATAATTAATAAATATTATATTTTTTTAGTAAATTTTGCACTGCCATTTGTGAATAATCAAGAGAAATAAATTATGTTGGCAAAACTTCAGACTTTGTGAAGACTAGAATATTAATCATATATTTATAACTTAATCAATATCAATCATTTTTATAATGTTAATAATATGATTATATGTATAATTGATATTCGCATTTTATATCTTCAAAACTCAAGTAGGCTATTTTTAATCTGTTAAGAGTATTAGTCTGTTTTTGTAAATAAATCTACATTGAGTACCTCTTATTATATTTACAAGCGGGAAAAGTTTCTATTTCATAAAATTTATTTAAAGTACGATTTAAGTCTTAAAAAATGACCCGCTGATCTCTAACTTCATGTACATTTTCATATTAATATTTGCTTAAAAGTGTATTTGTACAAATATTTATTTATTTGTATTTATTTGTTATTTTTTCTAACTATGTATATACATTAAAATAATCTATTTTGACCTCATAGCTCAATAATCAATAATTTTTATACTCCAAAGGTTTTGATTCAGTTTTAAAAATAATCTATTTCTAAAATTTTCAATAGATTCTTATTGTGTATTCATTTTTTCTTTAAATTGTAATATTTTGTATTGGAGTTTTTTTGTTGAGAGAATAAAAATCTTATGTACCTAGATGGTTATTTATTTTGTTATTTATTTTAAATGTATTTCAAACTGTAATTTCGATATTCTAATATCTATTAATTCTACATTTACTTTATTATAATGCATAGCCAATTATAATAAAATTGGTACTAAAGAAATTAGAAAAAGTAGTAGTCTCAAAAATATTCAAATTTGTTTACACGTCTTACAGTTTATTTGTGTAAGAAGCAAATAAATATCAGAGTAAGTTTTTGGTACTGGTATAATGCTTACTCATTGAATTTTTTGTTAATATAATGTGTTATGTTAATATATTTTTTATTAATTTTTGTAAGAATATGGATAGAAAATGGAAGAGAATGTATGTAATTCAACTTTGTATCAAATTTTTATCCTAAATTATTATACCAGTTATATGATTGAAACAAAAATGAATATAGTTAAATACTAAAAAGACAATTATTTCAGTTCACTCGGTCATAAATTTCTTAAATAAAATGTTTATGTTATGTATTATTTATTGCTTAATAACTTTTTTAATTCAAAAAATGTAATTAAATTTAAACAATTAAATTGCTTTAATTAAAGCCATAGTTTTATAATTAATTAATTTGATGTGGATTTTGGATTTATTTAAGTATATTTTTATTTGCAATTTCATAAATTTATAATTTGTAAAAATAAAACTGTGTCGACTCTAGTACTGTATTTTATCTTGCTAGATAAATCAGTGGCATAGTTATGAGGGTGAGATAGGGATAGATCCCTCTTCCTAGAAATTTTTTTTATATGTTTAATACATTGACTTATACTTGATAAAGGATTAAAAAAATTAAAAATACTCATGTTATAATCGCAGATATTATATGTAATATAAGGCTATAAGAGCATGGTTATAAGCCCCTCCTTCTCACTTTATGTTTATCCATTAAATTATATATCCTTACCTTCCAGAACTAAATCATAACTATGTCACTGAGATAAATGTTAATAATAACATATATTTCATATAAAACAGTGATTTTAAGTTGGATATAGATACATTTTAGTGGTTATTAATGTCAGTTTTAAAATAGTTATCAAATTTTATTTTCCAAATGTATTAATTATAATTGCTATTAATTTATTGGTAATCATAAATAGTTTATCAACACCATCATTTTTTTGAAATAATGTTTAATATCACTGAGATTAAAAATTCCTGAAACTAAAATTAATATTAAATTAATGGATCAATGGGGTATTTTTTTATGATAAACTATGAACATCGCTTAAAAAATAATTAAATAATACATTACTAACTATGAAAACTAAGAATAGTTTTATATATTTCTAAAAATATTTAGATTTTATATTAATATTAAAATATATGTATAAAATATTATGAACCATAAATTAGAATTTAAGATTTTAAATGTTAAATTGAAAAATTAATATAAATATATAGTATTACAGTTAATTTTTAATAGATAATATGCTGAATACTGCATGACTTTAAACCTTATTTGTTAATAATTTTTAGTGTCATTTAATCAATTAAATGATATAAAAATATATATTAGGTACTCAGTTGTAAAATACTGTTTTTACATTTTGTTAACTTTTTTTTTTTATCGATTTTTGTTGTTTATTTTTATTAGGTAATAATAAATTATTTTTTTACCCTATTATATATTATTTCCTATTACATTATAATTTTTTAACTGGTTTTTAAAAATGTACACTATTATTAATCTAATAATATACATTCTTGTACCTAACAAAATTAAAAATTGTAATTTTTATGATCTGGTAGTTATTTTTGAATTATGGCTACTAAATCTGTATTTACATTGAGTATTTAACTTTACAGTATCAAAAAGCAATTTTATGATAGAAAATAAAACATTTAAAATAAGAAATTTATATTATTTTCTGCCACAAAATTATATGAAACTCATAATTACTAATATAAATGAAAGAGATATAGGTGAACATGAAAGAATAAAAGATTTATTTATTTTTTATTGCTGAGGTTAATATTTAATTAGGAATAATCTTGAAGACTTTCCTAAGTTGAGCCACTTTGATTTCAAAAAATAATCATTATTGATTTTATTTTTGTTATCATAAAAACATTTAGAATTTATTTCGTACAACAATTTTTTTGAACACTCAGATTAGATCAGTTAAAACATATACACTACAAAATTGCATTGATGTACTATAAATATTTTGACAAATTGCATTCTTTTAAGAGAATAGTATGTTAATTAGTAAGTATTTATTTAATGTTCAAAGTTTAAAACCAAAATAAATAAGAATTCAAGTAATTATATGTTAAAATTACTTCTGTTTATACATTCAATCTTTCCAAATAAATTTAAGTTAAAGATTGTTTATTTTTTGACTAAACAAAGAATAAATAATTGGCTTAGAATATGTAGGCACTGTGTCAATGGCATTTATTCAATTTTGTTATGTGGATTGTAAGGGTGAGAGGTTTAAATGGTGGACATTTATCGGAGGGCTTCACTAAACATAATAAGTTCTATTATGGATTATAGCAATTATTATAGATTTATCCAACTCTCGTATAATAATGATATTTATAGTGGCACACTAATCTATCTTTGTAAACTAAAAAAAAAAAACATAATGATATTGAACATTTAAAAATAATCAATAAACAACTATGACAATTCCAAACATTGATTTGTATTAAATAGTTCAATAAGAACTGTTTTAAGAATTTGGTACTTTATTATAAATTGTTTGTGATAAAGATAACACATGCAAATACAATGTCCTCCAAAACAATTTAAAAGTACTTGAATATGGGAGAAATAGAAATTTAATGAAAATTATTCATGATTTGGTAATTAATTTGTTTATGTAGGATCTGTATTGTTTCAATACAAAAACTAAAATAAAATACTAATGTATTTAAAATAATAATACATTTCTTTACTATATCATTATATTATTTTTTTCAGTTTTCGATATTACTGTTCTGTTTATTGTGACTGACGTGAATAGTTCAGTTAGCTTAGTATTTTTTTTATTTTTTTTTTTTGAAAGCCTTAATTTGTTAGGTATGGAGTATTTTATATTTTGCATAAATAAATTAATACATTTTATGGTAGAAAGTTAATTTTTAAAATTTTTAAAATTTAAAATAGTAGTATAGGTAATTTCATTACCAGTCTATATTATATATATTATTATTTATTTAAATATGTACTTACATTAAAATTTTTAATTTTTATATTTAATTTGAATTTTATTAATAATTTAATGTTTATAAATACCTAATAATTATTAATATTATTGAAAGTTATAAATTATATTGTATTTATACATATGAAAAATGTAATTACAAAAGATTTGCTTACCAGTAATATAACTTTTAAGTAGGTCTGTATTTGTTTTTTATTCAATATTAATTTTATTTTGTATGATTCTTACTGTTATTTATTTTTTAAATACCCAATAGACAATTTGTTTTTTAACTTTTCATAATTTTACACAAGCTACCTTAAACCAATAGTAATATATGTCAGCGACACTTAGTCCATGACAAAAGAAAACACAAAAAACTTTCCATGTGAGAAATTAAAGTCTTAAGAAACAATTATGGACTAATGTTTAATAACAATAATAGATATTAGATAACATAAGATATTTAATGAAAAGCTGTATTATCTTTAAAAGAAACCCAATATGTTCATTATCATTATACAAGATGTAAATGATTAGAATAGCTATGCCATGTATGAAGGGAAAATTAGTATGTATTAAAAAATATCTTATTTGGAAAAATAAAAAGTAAAAATAGCTTGGTAGACCAAGAACTAGATGAAAAGATGTTGTAGAAAAGGATGCAAGATTGGTGAATAGAAATGCAACAATTTAGTAGACTTTGGATAGAGAAAAACGAAGAGATTTAATACTGAATAGTAGCAACACAGGTCTTCAATGGATCTTTAAGTTGTCAACGGTGATGATTTAATATACATACCTACAAATATATAATAATATTGATAATAATTAGTATTCATAATCGATGATAATAGTTACAAATAATTTATTTTTTGGTCAAGATTCTTCAATTCTGATTTGTAATGTTTCAGCTGTTATTTTGACGTTATTATACATATTATATACCTATATGGCATATAGACTTATGTATTAGAGCTGACACGGATATAATTCAGGATATTATCGAATCTCAAGCTTTTGTTTGAATATCTTTTCTATTATAAGTTTCTAAAGAATAAATTATAATAATTTCCATTTAAAAGTTTATGTAAGGACAGAGAACTAATGAAATATTAATCGACGTTCAACAGTAAAGAGTAGGTAGGTATTTATTGAATGAAAATTTCCGTTGTGTAAATAAATATCAGTAGTACTAGTCTGTACCTACTTATATGTAAATTATACGTATGCAAATAATTAAAAAAAATGTAAGTTATACTCGTACAATTATAATTTAAATATTTAATTTTATAATAATGTCAATTATTATCCTTGTACAAAAATTATTTAAATTGTTATTTGTTGGGCATAAATATAAAATAATCTATAAAATAATTTTTCAAAAATTGCTTAGTGGGTTACTTATTTATACTATGGCAGGTATTTGAATTATAAGTTAAAAATTAAATCTTTTTCATTAAGCAAATTATTTTCAGTAATTATAGGTAGGATATAGATTCATATAGGTTTCTAGAATACAAATGTATTTTGTTTATGTATCCATTTAACATTAATTGGTTTTACAAATATCGTCGACGTACAGGCCGTTTGTAATTGTATCTTAGAATCGAATTAAT